TTTTGGGAGGTTTGAGTCCCGTTACATCTGGTGTTAGACCAAGCCAACAGCAAAAGAATGGTGGAGGGGCTACTTTGCTGCTTCAGGACGATTTGGTGTAATTGATGCAACCATTAATTCTGGTCTGTTTGGCCATTAATTTGCTGTCTTGAACCTTGGGAGCGCTTGTATTAGACAGCAGGACAATGATCCAAAACACAGCAGGAAGTCCATCTCAGAATAAGTGAGTCAAATGCTTTGGTGTGACCTTAAAGCTGCTGTTCATGCTCAAAAATCCCCCAATGTGCCTGTATTAAAACAACTCTGCAAAGTAAAGTTGGCCAAACTTCCTCCACAGTGATGTGAAAGACTCACCGGCAGTTATCTCAAACACTTGACTGCAGTTCTTGCCGGTAAGGCTGGCACATGTTATTAGGTTTTTTCACGCAGGTTTGAATGTTTTTTTCCCTTAATAATTAAAATCATAATTTAAAAACTACATTTCTATTTACTCAGGTTGTCTTTAAAGATCTCAAACATTCAAGTATTGCAAAAACCTTTTCACAGTACTGCAAAACCAAATCAGTTTTAAGGTTACACTTTGTGTTGATCTCCTTAAATTACAGCTGAAAGTCTGCACTGATGTAAAACCCACTGTGGTGGAGTAAAGAGCCCAAATAAAATAAATAAATCATTGTGCAAAAACAGATTTTCCTAACTGTATGTCCTTTCCTCCTTCCTCCATGCCTCAGTAATGATGCCCAGTTTGAAGTGGCCTACTACAGTAATGTACTGGTGTATGAAAATGGTTTCTGCTACTGGTTGCCACCGGCCATCTTCCGCTCCTCCTGCTCCATCAACGTCAGATACTTCCCCTTCGACTGGCAGAACTGCACGCTCAAGTTCACGTAAGAAAGAATTATTTAAAGCTCTCTGTTGACAGTTATGCATCCAAAATCAGAATTTACAGTCTGCTGTGAAGCAAATCTGTAAAGTTTTTATGGTGTTTTTCTCCTGAAAGATCTCAGATTAATTTAATCCGTGTTTGTCACGCTGCTTTGCAGCTCTCTCACCTACAACGCCAAAGAGATCCGGATGCTCCTGAAAGAAGAATACGCCGGAGAAGTCGCCAACTATACAGTAGAGTGGGTCGTTATTGACCCTGCTAGCTTTACAGGTAGATGCTCTTTTCTGCACTCCAGTGTTAGGTTCACACTTTACTTTTCCCTGTCAGAAATGCCCATGCCATACTGTACTGTAACTCGATCCCGTCCAAACATATATTTCTGGCTCATCTGGAAAAGTGTCCGTGCAGCCGCCTGTCCACAAAGAACCACACCTCCTCCCACAGTGTTGGTCAGGATTTAACTTGCACATAAAGATCATGTAGCTGGTCTTCTTGTCTTGAGCTTTGCATCTTGTTGTAAACCGTCTGTATTTGTATTCATGAAGGCGTCTCTTGATTGCTAACAGTGATACTCTTACCTCTTTGAGTCTCTTCTTAAGGTTAGATCTTGTGAAGTTAGTTTTCTTAACCATGGAAAAAATTCTGTCATCATCCACTTTAATTGTCTTTTGTGGTCTTTCTGGGTTTTTGGTGATCCTGAGCTGGTCAGTGGATTCCGTCTTTTTATGAATGAACCAGACTGAAAGTGTTGCTCTTTCTTCGATGGGTTTATTCAGTTTTTTCAGCCCAACTCTGGCCTCTTTTATTTCATCACCAGTACATCAACACCTCATATGAAGAGTTCCAGTGAAACTCCAACACTTTTATTGCATCTTTATAAAAAATGTATAATTACTGTAGTGTGCACAGGCAAAAAAAAAAAAAAAAGTTTGGACTTCACTGCATTTAGATACATTTTTCACAAACATGGACATGAAAAACACATTTTAGTGCTTCTAATGTCAAAGAACAGACATCTTTTCACTTTAGGCTGAAACGACGCAGTCAGGTTTGGCAGACAAACGTGGAGGAAGCGCCGTTATGTAAACTTTCTTCTGTCTGGGTCTCATCTCATGTTTTCCACTAATGTTGGCAGAAAACGGCGAGTGGGAGATCGTCCACCGGCCAGCCAAGAGAAACATCTACAAGCACATCCCCATGGACAGCAACAAGCACCAGGACATCACCTTCTACCTGATCATCAAACGCAAACCTCTGTTCTACATTGTCAACATCATCATTCCCTGTGTGCTCATCTCCTTCCTGGCCTGCCTCGTCTACTACCTGCCCGCTGACAGTCAGTGCACGTTTAAAGAGCAATTTCAACCA